AAACGGTTTTACCAACTTAAACCCCTCCAAACGCCAAACAGTCAATTTCACCCTTAAGCATAATCCTGACTTAAACAAACTGGTTAACACTCACCTTACGAGGTGTGCAACATAGATAGCACTGAAATAGAGAGAGACGAAGTCGGAAGTTAAATACCTAGGCATCATTCTATCTGCTGGTCTTTACTGGTCGTCTCATATCTTGATGATTTCTAAGAAAATATTCCGTCTTACCTTCTACATCAAGAAGTTAAGACATTCTGGAATAACCCAAACAACCCTTACTCCTACGATTCGTTAACTCTTGCATCCAGCCCATTATTCTCTATTGTTCCCCCTTAGTTTTTCCAGGGTTGGCTACTGAAGAAAGACTATACCTTAATACGCAGGATGTTAAAGGTTTTCAGCAGGTTAAGTCACAGGCTGCTACTTAACCAGCTTGTTAATATTCTGGTTGACAGGCACATGGACTCATGTGAAAAATGGGCTAAATCGATTTTATCTAACTCGCAACACCCTCTTCATTCACAACTCTCCCCTTGTATCTCATCAGGCAGGTAGACAAGAAGCCTATATAGAAAACTATATGCTCTCACTAGTAAGTACAAAAACTCAACCATACCCTACTTAGCTCGTGTTCTGTGCGATAAAGAGAGCATTAGGCGTGAAACCTATAACTTATTAAATAGTCAGTAGAAAAACTGGATCTCGTCTTTCCAATTCGTATCTTTACAGGTACAACGTTTTCTTTCTTTTCCTTTTCTCTCTCTTTTCTTCTCTTTTATGTGCTGCTTTGTTTCTTTCTTCTGCTTACGCCAGTGAATATGGTAGCATCTACTTTTCTAACATCTTCAAACATTATGTTCCCTTTTGGCTTTGCTACAGACATACCAATATGTTGTTATCATAATGAACTGAGATTTCCTTAATCTATGTACAATTTTATTTATTGGTAATGTACTAACTGGATGGAATACTGTAGTGAAATGCTGAGAATTCCATTCTGTATCACAAGTACTGTTTTGAAATAAAGGAAATTGTTATTATTATAATTAAGGATATTCACAAACCAAAATGGATTTCTCCTGGCGAACATACGATAAACCAGATAGATTTCATCTCAATGCTGCTCAAGGAAATGGAGACGTAGCCTGCTGGAAACATTGTCAAGAAGGGGAGCAGATGTGAACTCGTAGCATTACCCAGTGCAAGGAACCTTCGAGTTCAAGCTGGAAGCCTTCAAAGCAACTGAAGACAGGTCACAGTTCAAGTTCAACATTCGGAAACTGAAGACCAAAACTACATATTATGGCTTCACTACAGATCGAAACAGAGCAAAGTCGGAGACACTACGTGGCATCACTGAGGGGTTTGTGTGAGAACATTGTAACTCTCTATAGGTGATTTTCCAGGAGACGTGTACTTCAGTAATGGGAAGAAAGAAGAGTTAAGAATGAGAATGGCTCTCATCAGACACGTGAAAGCTAATAGAAGAGAGGAGAATAGTGAAGCAGAGGATGAACGAGTGCAGAGATGGACGGATGGATGGAGAAGGAGAGTCTGAGTCCAATGTACATGTCACTGTATGAGGAAGTGGTGATGAGTGTTAGGAGAGACAAAAGACAATTGTGCGATACACTGTCAACTGAAGCAGAGCAGACTGCAGAAGAAGTGGAAGAGAGCTGAGAACTCCATATCAGATAACCAGGTGTCTATCAGGGAAGAGATCAACACAGATGAAGTCAATAAAAATGTTTGAGGGGACCTAATTATCAAAGAGGAGAGACGGGGGAACTAGTGGACTGATCACTTGATTGGGCTCTTCAACCGACCATCACATGCAACTAGTCTAGAAATACCACCACTAACAGCACACAGAGAACAAGTTCCAGTCGACACCTATCCTCGAACGAAAGCAGAGGTCTTGAGTGGAATCAAGTTACTCTACCGAAGGAAGAGGGGAAACAGCAGGACCAGATGGAATTCATCTTGTAGCACTCAAAACAGATCCAGAGACCTGAGATGATATGCTCACACCACTACTGAAAAAATATTTGGAAGGAAGGAGATGTACCTACTGTTTGGAGGGAAGGCTATTTTATCACGCTACCAAAGAAGGGAGATTTATTTTGTCCCCTGCAAGAACTGGCGCTTACAAGTGTTCACGCCAAGCGAATTGTGAATTCGCATTGTACTGGAGAGACTGAATGTTGAACTGGATGCAGAACTCCGCTAGCCGGAACAAGCTGAATGCGGGAAAGGCAGATCATGTGGTGATTAAATTGCAACTGTAGTCATCATTCTCGGACAGAACATCGAATCACAGTCGAACCTCTATCTGAACTTCGATTTTCGAAGGCTTTCGACAGTGTTGACTGAAAATTAATTTGGAAGCGACTCACACACCATGACATGACCGAAATCTTCATCGACCTCAGTCAACAGCTTTCCGATAACTCCACTTTTAAGGTGATACCCAACAGGAAACGCAGGGAAGTTTCTTAAGTGACTACAGGAGTTAGACAAGACTGATTACTATCACCACCGATGATATTCCTAATTGTCGTTGGCTGGATTACGCAGTATACCTTGATATGTATATATATATATATATATATGTGTATGGTGATCTCTCTTTCTGTTTGCTCGCTTAGTCTGTGACCATTTCACTTTGATGAACCTGCCTCCTTTAACAATGTATATTCCCCTTATATTATATATAATATGAGTGTTTGTTGACAGTCCGTTGCTTGGTGACATATATCCATATTATATGTGTGGTTGTTGGCATGTCTGCTATATTTTGCTATGTATATATGGATCGATACTTCATTATAATTAGCCATTCATGTTAAGACTGTCTATTGATTTGTTCACACACTTGTCTGGACATTCATATATATTTCGCTCTCACAATCTTGTGTGACACTTTTGGGGTGATACCACTTATTGCTTCTCCTTGTGTTTGGAAAATAGAAGCTTCATCGCAAACCTAGTGGTCTTCTGATTTCCGCCTTCTTGCGTCAGGACTATTAAATTCTTGACCAGTACATGTACTGGCGGTTAATGCATATGGGCAAACGTGGGATAAAAGGGTAATTTAGATCGGCAAACACGTGGGCAAAAGATGGTGTAAATGCAACCGATTTTACCCACTTTGGCCACATTTCCCACTTTTTCCCCGTTTTCCCATGTCCAGATAAAATTTGTTTGTCCCACCTTTTCCCAGTTTTCCCACGTAACCCACGTTTTCACCCATTTATCCCTTGTGCAGGAATTCAAAATATACCCACTTTTTCCCCGTTTGCCCATGTCATTTTAGAAAACAGCACACTTATTCCCACTTTGCCCATGTTACAAACGAAAACAGCCCACCTTATCCCACTTTGCCCACATTTAAACGGAAAACTACCCACGTTTTTACCCACATATCCCAGGTCCACAAAAAAAGTAACCGACTGGGCATAACAATAATTTAGCGACGAGTACATAACATACCTTGAGTGAGGGGAGAGAAGACTGGAATGGGTAATAAGGCTGACAAGAAGACTCTGGTAGATCTGAACTTCTTGGATGATTTATATCGAATGTTATACAAACAGGAATAGTTACAGACGGAAGCCAACAACCTGGTGGAGGAGGCTGGTGGCGAAGACGGGACTTCAGGTGAACATAGAGAAGACGGAGGGGATGAAGATGAACACCAAAGAATCAGAAGCACTAGTCACTACCGAGGGAATAAATTTGAAAGAGGTCGCTCCCTTCACCTATCTATGAGGCATCGTTTTAACTACAGTAGTCACATGGGATGAGTGAGGATGTCGAAATCAACATCCGAAAGGCGATGTAGACCTTCAGCATTTTGAAATCATGTTGGAAATCTTCTGCACTGTGGAGAACAGAGGAGAAGATTCGGGTTCTCAACAAGTATGTTAAGTCAGTCAGTTGTTTTATATGAGTGAGAAACTTGACGTGTGTGTTTGTGTTTCACGGAAAGCATTTCCAACAGGCCAGTGAGGAATTTTATCAATAGCTGACATTTTCGTTGTTTGACTGCATCCTGAAACTGAGATGCTTGGTAGAAAGAATAAGGAACATGAGCCTGTGGGAACGGATCAACTGCAAGCCTATTGCCGAGGAAATATCGTGGAGAAAACGGTAAGGAATCGGACACACGCTGAGGAGATCATCGGTTGGGACCACATGCCAGGTGGTCGATCGACTAGAACCGGAATTAAACTCGACTATCTTGGTGTCTAAATGTAACATTTAGTAGCTTGTTTGAGACTATCTGATAGCCTATATGCTTCCGTAGAGTCAGCTGGAGAGGACTTCATTGGTGAGGAAAAACTGGAGATTTTCTGCTGAAACTCCTGTTCCTGTCGAAATCCAAGGGAATAAGATATATATATATATATATATATATATAGGTTGAAGGATTTCATCATGAGCTGACATCGGTTAGAGAATCACTGGAAAACCTGGGAGTACTGCACAGCTAATTCGTCCTAGTTTGGGACTTAACAGTAGGCACCCGCCACCAGGGTTCGAACCCAGGACCTTCTGATTACAAGGCGTGCTAGCTCGTGGACCATTGAGCCACTGGACCCCGATCCAATGGCCCATGAATTGCTTGGTAATGAAGAGCCCCAAACTAGGACGAAACAGATGTCCAGTGCTCCCAGGTTTTCCAATGGTTTCTAACCGATATCAGCTCATGATGAAACCCCCCAATCAATCAAACAAAGAAAATCTCTACAAAACCAATACTTGAATATATATATATATATATATATATATATATATATATATATATATTATCGTTGTGATACATTACTAATTTTATTGAATTCAGATACAATATTACATATACTTTTTTATCAGCTTAGAATACAGACTTAGTATATTCTCAGAGAAATTTAAATTCATATTTATTGATTAAACAGTAATTAACTAGTAAAGTCACACAGATAGATATATATGAGTTAGTTGAATAAACAATGCACAGGATAGTGGATGCTAACGCTTTCTTAACTCTCATTACTATTATTTTGCGTCTGACCACTTTTTTTGCCAGTTCTGAAAGATTTTACGACCTACTCACTAAACAACCTGGAAAGGAGTATTCAGCAAAAGAAACTGTCGGATTTCGAACATTTCACGAAATGCATAATCCCCAGTATAGAGAATATGAAAATGGTTTTCCTCCGGGGATTTATGGTTCTTCTGTTATGCCTGTTACTATATGGTATCATTATTGGGGTCGCAAAAATTATGAAGGTATGTAACATACTATGTATAGGCTTTTAGGTAATTATTATGTTTAGAAAATATATTTTAGTGATAAACTTGGTGGAGACAACTAGGGATTTTTTTTATTTTGGACAGCAAAAGTAATTACAAATTAAAAATTCATTCTTCATGTTAAACTGACTGATTTCAGTCTCAATGAACAAGGTTTCCACCGGTTCACCTTTCTCACATATAAATCCAAGAACAATATTTAAGCGGGGCATGAGCTTGGAATCATGTATGTTCCCTTAGTTCATGTTCATTCTTCACTACTAGATGGATTTTCTGGGAAATATCCGATTTGCCGTTTGATTATATTGAGATGGCCTTTTGAGGTGAAAAGCGACAATTTCAAGATTCATTCACAAATAATCCGTTCAACAAGCACATTGTGTGGGTTGATCTCCTCTACAGAGGATTCACCTGGAAAGTACAGTGGTTGAAGTTACCCTATATTGTAACAACCACCTTTAGCTATTTTATACACCTATTCGACTATTATGTTGTGTTTCTGAGACAGATGCACAGATCTTAAGTTTTATCATTCATTTTATCTAATGATGAATGCGAATCATTCAGTGGTTCTGCGTTTAAAATCTCATGAATGAAGACATCCTATTAATTCAAGGAACGGGGTGTACAGTGTACACCTTATTCGAAGCTGACAGCACTTTGTGTACTGTCTTAATAACTGAATACAAATTAGTTTGTAAGGTTTCAAAAAGTGCAGTATGAAGCTGAATTCAAGCTCGGAAACAGCAGGCCATTGGGATTGCACAACACATGCGCGCATCAGTTATTTGACCCGTGCTAAATGAAAATATACGAAGCTACTGCATTTTAGTGTGATATGAGCTGAACATTTTAAATTTGTCATTAACTATCTAGTTTCATTCCTGTGACAGAGTTTTTAAGGATTAAGGACGTTACTTAGCTGTAAAGCTTGGATCGTGAGAATGAAGTATATTCAATAGTTATTAACATTTTAATACGGATTCATCACAGTTTTCTCTGTTGAATGGTAGTTATAATGATGTTACATGTAGGAGAAAGGGGTTGTTCAGTCTTTCTTTACTAGAGTAGTTAAAACTTATGCTACGTGTATTTTTCTTCGTACCAGAATAAATAATGAAAATAAGCTGTTTTTGGTGTTAACTAATTGGATTTTAGACTGCTAGATTTGACCGTACGTGGAGGAGTGGATATCATGGCTGAAGTTAGAGTGACAAAGGAAGTCAGCAGACTGTCACATATCTTTATTTAACCTCAGAGCCCTATGTAATATTTTCTCACGCTTGGTTTTTTATAATCTGGTTTTCTCACTTTACCTGGATTTTTCGAATATTTTTGTTATTCCTTTTTTGAACATTTCATCTCCTCTTTCTTTGATGTTCCATCACTTCAGGGATTTCAGTTGTGGCAAACTGCACTGATGATAGTTTTAGAATTCATTCTGCTGAGTCCATTTTATCGGAAGGTCTGAGGAAGAAACAAAATACTCCCACCTGACTGAAAAGGCAATAAAAAACCGATAAGTCAAGAAAACAGTCTCTAAGGTTAACTAACCTTATTTTACACTAAAATGGTTTTAAGGAGGAAAACTCATTAAGTCATAATCTACCAGGAGTTGCTTTGCTACTGAAATTTATTTTGTTTAATTTTTTTTAGTATACTTTATATATTTATTTTTCGGCAGTACGCACCCACTGGGGTTCGCACCCAGGAATTTCCGGTTACAAGGCTGGTTCATCAAAAGTGAATGAAAATAGGTCAAAATGTTTAGCGTCATTATCTCTTTATTAAAGTGAAAACACTTTGATTTAATTTAATTATCCTGAGTTGGCGTTGAAGGCCATGGGAGGCATAAGGATTGATCAACCCTTTTTCCGAACACAAAGATTACGCGGAAACATTTTTATCATGACTGCCTCAACTATGTTTAGTAGACATAACAATGGAATTACTGGGATCGACACTTCAAAAGGTAATGGCTAAAAACTTTTCACCGCAACACTACGTTTAAAATTCATCACTGGTATAATTCCAATGAAGGTGAAGGATGAGCTTAAAGCCCTATGCTCCACTCGGAACGCAAGGGATTAAAATAAAAACAATAGACTTCTGATGCTTGGCGTGAACATTCTGTCTGTGTTTCGTGCCTTGCTTGTAATTATGTTTAAAATTCCTCACCAGTAAGTAGCGCATACTTCTTTAATGGGTCTACTATTGATTGGGCGAGGTGTAGGAGTGCGTCGGTCGGGAATCTGATTACGGACCACGTCCGTGGTTGGTGAGAATTCTACCGACGAACCACCGGCACATTAAGAACCCAGGGAGTACTGGATAGCTGTTTCGTCCCAGTTTGAGACTCCCCATCAGCACATACCCACCGAAATTTGAACCCAGGACCTTCCGGTTACAAGGCGAGCTCACAGACTGGCCAGCCAACGGTACCCAAACATCAAAAGCAGTATAGCATTTCTCTTAAATGGCCTTTAAAACTCATAGATTCAAGGCATTTAAGAGAATGGTTTCACCATCTTTAATTTTTATTTATTTTTTTGATTTACAGCTTGATTCCACACTGTATTTTCGGTACAAGTATGGAATTTTCAGCATGGATATCGGTAGCCCAAATTTAGCAGAGCGACCATAGATATCGGGTGTGCGTCGGGAGGGGATCGAACCTCGGACCATGTGCATGGTCGGCGAGAGTCTTAACCACTGTGTCACCGACGCACAGGGATAGTTAAAATTGCAGTTTTGCTATAATGTGTTTCAAGCTCAGTGTTCACCGAAACACAAACAAACAAGCAAACAAACGTAAAGCAAAAGTAAAATCCTACTTAGTATTAAGAGAGTCATTTTCATCGCCGCTAAATCTTAGCCTAGTATGTATGACTTGTAGTTAACAAAATTACAGAATTTCATGTTCTGAAGATCAAAAGAGTTAACGCTGAAATAAGATAAATTCAAGCTTACCAACAAAATGAGGACAATGCAGGAGGGCTAACATATCTTAAATTTACAACTATCTGAGGTTAGTTGCGATAGCGTGCTTTGAAAGATAAATTAACAAGTATATTTCAGAAAATAGGCATGTTGAGTTGCACTAATATCAACATTGTAAGTGAACTTTTTTTGTTGTAGAAATATCAAAGAAGACCGAGTCTACTAGATGGTGAAGAAAATGCACTACAACCACACTACCAGAAATCAAATTATCAAAAGAGAGAGAGACAAAAATAAGTTATCAGCATAGATCCTAAGAACAGTACTAATAAATCGCTGGGAATTAATCAGTTTCATGTGTTTAGTTTTTAGTGGCACTGACTGGACTTTATCAGTCACTGAATTAATGCAGTATTTCTGAGTGCAGTATTGAGTGTGAAAAGGGTTTGAATCTATCATGGGACATCATTTCCTCAGAGGTTGCAGATACGCCTTTCTGACTAGTTCCAACAAGCACGAATTGTGAGTTCATGGCATCCTGTCAGCTGCCATCCACCGTTCAGCCATCAAATAATTGCAGAATAATGATCTATGTTGCTAAGCTGATACCTGTTTTTGACGAAATCAGTCTCTCAATCCCACTTATGTAGATCTATATTTAGTAGGTATGTTCTGTATTAGTGAAAAGAGATTATAACTTCATCGACTGAATTATTCATTTTACCTAGGACTGTACGCCTAACTTGATAGTTCGACCACAACCTTGTAGTACTATAAATGTAATGTTTGTCGAATGTCTGTAGTTACTGTAGGTCCTTTAACTTTAATGACTAGGATCTGAAGCCATATGGTAGGTTAAAAAACAATCCCACAAGGGGATACTTCATTTTTAGTTGGTGATCAGATTTCCCTCTTGTTCCATAATTGACACAATTAAGACAAATCAAATTATCCTTGCATATCCATGCCTGCCTAGATTTTTTCGACTCGTGCCAAGAAGTGGTGCGATGCTCTAAGTGTCTCCATAAGTAGACTGGTTATGAGGTAGCCAATTACATTTAGAGGAGGAAAACATTTTAAACGTTAACGTTTGAATACATTCATCTAATGCAATATAACAAAAACAGTAATGGGAGTCTTTTTTTATGGCCTTAGATAATTACTACTTAATAAATTATTAGATTATTTCATTATCGGATGATAAACTAAATGGTTAACTATGACATGGTCTTTAGTGTTCGATTATCTTTTTTAAATTCCATTTTAAACCAGATATGTTTCCACATAGTGCAAATATGTTCTTAGCCGATGTAAACTGGCCGCATATAGTTACACTCTGCGATGAAACTAAATACCCCCGATGTTCATGGGCCTATTTTCTAGCTCTGATGCAACCAACTTCATATAATCCACATTTAATACAAAAGATATTCGGAGATGAATTAAAAAAACCATCCGATGGATATTTTATTACCCCATTTATACGTGGTGGATGTTATCCAATGAGAACAGTTGATCAAATGAGCTTAATATACATATATACTGTATGTCATCTGTACGGTGAAGAAAAAGAGATTGCTGGTGATCTTGATGTGAGTTTAAATTTATCACAAAGGTAATATTATTTTTCAACTTGGATGTGCGTTTTTGGTTCAGCGGTAGAATGCTCACCAACCATGCCTCATTTGGTCCAGGGTTCGATCCCCCGCCGACAAATTCCTAATTCTCGCTAAACCGGTAAAGAGTGGAGGTTGGACATGAGGTTGGCAACCCCACCCCATAGAAATAAAGACGGCACTGCCACTGAGATTCCATAACTCTAGGCTGAAGCCCTGTGTTCCACTTGGAAGGCAAAGGAATAAAATAAATAAAATAATTTCAATAAAGCTATTGATAAAATGGAATAGCTGAATGATTTGAATAATAATTGTCTCCGGTTAGTCTAAAAATGAAGTGGTGTTAGTCTATATATGGGTGGTTGATGACGCATCACAACAATCTGATTTTTCATACAATGATACACCTATTAACTGAGTAATTATGCATTAGTTTCCAGGACAACCGAACACACTCATCCCAGCCTTTTGCGAGACCGGATCAGCGTGCAGTATCTTCCTGGGGCTATACTAAGCATGTCTTGATATGATTATGAGTAGCAATAAATTGTGCTCGAAATTTCATCAGTAAACAGTTCTATGTCACTGTGTGCTTCTAACAAGTAAATTTTGCTCTTTGGTGCGATTATAGTCTACCATAGTAGTACCTGAATTCTGTTCTTATATTCACAGGGCTTCAAACTTTAAAGTTTTGGTAGCGATGGAGTTTGATTTTATGGGAGTGGTTTTCTGGCTTCATACCAACCTCCCGTCTTTTCCGTGCCTACTACTGGCTGGTGAACTAGACAAGGTTTCATAGCGCTTCGATCGAGGATAAAAACTGGGACCGTCTGCGTGATTAGCCAGCCACCTACTCATTCGCACCATCCCCTAGGTCATTGGACCACTAAGTTGCAGCAGATGCTTTTGTCCAATGCCTGTTATCTGTCAGTACAATAGTTATGCGTTTTTGTTACTCACTGATGTTTTTGGAGTGTATGTAGGCTGGTTTTGGAGGTGCTATATGTATTGATTAAATTAATATATTGTTAGATGATGATTTGTCACACCATTATATCTCATAGTCGAAGTTTACAGATGCATTTGAGCATTCCAAAGAGAGACAGAAATGCAGGTGCTTGTATTTCCTACTATTTATCTCAGAAATTTTCCTCTTTCTTCTCTCTCTTCATTCAGTGACAATTCGTAGAATGCTGAAGACTGTCAGTAGGGTGAGTGGTGTCCCAGTGGACCGCATAGTTAATTTTGTTATCGATAGTCACTTGACTTCGTGCAGTAAGCTTGCTAGAGGGATTTTGTCTGACTTGGAGCATCCTTGTTTATCCTCAGCTTTCTTTCACCTTGCATCTCCTCAGGTAGAACAAGAAGTAACCTCAAAAAACTGTATGCTTGCACGTCTAGGTATAAAAATTCTATGATACCATATTTGGCACCTATTTCATGTGATGGAAATAGCGTCAGGCAAGAATTAACTAACCAAACCTTTTTCATCTAGTAAATAAACAATTTCCTCCATCCATCCTTATATACCTTCAAGTTTTACTTTTATTATTTCTATTACATTTATGGTCCTGTTACTTCTCTGTTTTTTTACTCTCATAATTTCAAACACCATCTTATCTCTATGACTGCTGTAATCTTTGTTTTTCCCCTCACCATGATCATCATGTTAAAGAGAACATTATATTCAATATTTTTAAACATGCTAGGATTTCTATGCTACATTGACAATATTGTGTGAAACAAGCCCACGGCAATTTTTCACTTGTATTATTATTATTTCCTTAGCTGTTGTCGTTATTATTATTTCCATTTTATATGCTGCATGTTTTTGACACTACCTCTATTGTAAATATGGAAGGTTTTCTGTGTGATTAATTCTTATTTACAATTTGAGGTAATTAGATGCAATATTGTGATTAATGCTGAAAAGTCCATTCTGTATCACAAGTGCTGTTTTGGGAATAAAGTAAATCATTATTATTATTATTATGTACTTACTTTTGCACCTTTGAATTTAATTTCACTTTTAATGTATTTATTTATTATTATTCAGTATATTATGGAGAATGTTTTACAACTAGTTTTAATTGTTATCACATTACAGATTTGTCCGAATCCATGCAAACGAAGACCTTGTCATTATATTGAAAATGCCATTAGTGGTTCATGTAAACGTCGTGGATATCATAGAGATGATTTTGAGTGTCTATGTGAAACAGTAAGTATTCATAATACTTTGTAATAGTAATGAGTAGTAATTCAAACTATACCGTGTGATAAATATTTCTTCTCACTAGTTAAAAGATGTCTTATCTGACAATCCAAAATAAGACGCCTACTGCAGTTCAGAATAACATGGTACCATCACTTTTTATTTCTTCGGCTTCTCATCAACTGCATGCAGCATAAAGAAATGAATTAAGTCTGTGTACTGAACCATTTTAACAAACTTTTAAATGTTACATGATGTTAGTTCACAGAAGACTCCAAACTTAATTGATAGTGCTCAGAAATTAAGCACAGAGGGGCCAAGTTTACACAAAACAAAAATAAACTCTTGGATACAATGACAAAAGGGTTACGCACTAAGGACAGGAGGCGAATAAGATGATGAGTAACTAATAGGCTGAGATTAGTTCAGCTGAAGTCGTAGAGACAAAAGGCGAACAAATTACATTATAGTGAAGAGGAAGAGTTTAAAGCCAAAGACTACGCAATCAAGTAAAACATAGAGTAAAAATGTGAAGTTACGACGTCAGGGAGAGACTGATAACTGCCTCTTTCTGAACATGTGAATCAGGTTTCAGAAGTTTAATAGCAATTGCTTCTGCAACTTTGAGGAGAAATGAACTATTTGTTTTTGTATGGATAATTTTAAAGGATTTCATAGCGTCCACTTTATGATCTATATCGACGAGATGCGTGGCAAGGGAGAGACGCCCATCGTTTTATTCACTTCTCGCCTTTGTTGCGTAACTCTTTTGCCACTGTACCTAAGCTTTCATATTTGTTTAAGTTTCTAATTCCTTAGTAAAAGCCATATAAGTGCAATTTCTGAGTACTGTTGGTTAAGTTTTGAGTTTACTGTCATTAAGTAACATTCGCAAATATGTCAGAAAAATGCTCTGTCCTTAAACCTAATAATCTCTTTAAGCTACACTCTAGCTGATGAGAAGTTGACAAATTAGACGATGATACTGTATTATTCTGTACAAACCGTTGTTTTTGGCTTATTCAAACTACTGTTGTGTTAAATCGACAACACATGTTACATAATGATTGTGCAATTTAGTTAAACACTAGTAAAATAAAAATAGTTCGGTAAAGAATGTAGCTGAAGAAAAAAAGTTAAGGCTATCAAATTGCATTATCAAAACGACATATATTTATTTTAGATTCACTTTTGATTGATTTTACCGTTGATTGATCAGACCGAAATGTTCGGTCTCTGTTGACATTCGCTGAACAAAATGTGGCTGTTGAGGGCCACCAAGTGGTCTCGTAGATAACTCTGTGGTGTTGGAAACTATGGATATTGGGTTCAAGTATTAATGAGAACACCATCACCGACTGGGGAATGCAGATACGCCCGGATGATGAGTCCCCAAATGTGACGAAATTTAATTTAATTTTTTTTGATTTACAGCTTGATTCCACACTGTATTTTCGGTACAAGTATGGAATTTTCAGCATGGATATCGGTAGCCCAAATTTAGCAGAGCGACCATAGATATCGGGTGTGCGTCGGTGCGGGCTCGAACCCCGGACCATGTGCATGGTCGGCGACAGTCCTAACCACTGTGCCACCGACACGTTCTTAGACACGTATGTGTGAGTTGGTAGATTCCATTATAGATAAGATTTTATTTTGATAAATCTTATCTATAATGGAATTATACTCTACCACAGTGCCCGAGTTGGTAGATGTATGTGCAGGTGACAGTAAAGGGGAGATTTATCAAAAACTTTGGGTCCTTTCTGTGAACAGCTTTTCTGCCAAGTTTAACTAATTTAGTAGCTAGATAAACTCTTTTCAGAACTGTGTTTAGTCTGTAAATGGTCGTTTGTCACTTATAAATCTACCTTTTTGAGAACACTGGTTTCTTCTCTACTATATCTGATTCCCACTTTCATAAAAAGTGTATTTTTTGTGTATTAATCGATGAATGAATGGCCTTCACCTTAATAGTAAATAGCTATAGTACTAGAATATTTTTGCATACTGATATTACGATTATTTTAAGTTGTAGCTTTGTTCAACTTATTAGGGATGAAAATCGTATGGAATTTCATGCAGATGGTTCTCTTTATTAGTTTGAATAAAGAAAGAACGAACATATTTGCAGTTGTAGAATAATACGAACTTTTATTTCGTGGATTCTCTCTCTCCAACTGCGTACATCTTAAGTAAATAAATCAAATCCCTACAAACCAACACTTGAATATCAGTGAGATGCTGACTAATGACTAACCCTATTCAGGTAGGTAGTTACCTGGGGTTCCAGTGAGAAGTCGGGATCAGTAGGGTGCAGCACGTCGGATATGAAGACAAATACTCACCGAAGAAATTGGCTAGCGGTTGCACTATGTTGACAATCGGCAGAAGTTAGAATTCATGGGCCATTGGATCAGGTCTCAGTGGCTTAATGGTCCACGAGCTAGCTCGCTTTGTAGCTGGAATGTCTTGGGTTCGAACCCTGGTGATGGGTGAGCACTTCTAAGGAGCCCCAAACCAGGACGAAACAGCTGTCCAGTACTCTCAGGTTTTCCAGTGATTCTCTAACCGATGTCAGCTCATGATGAAATCCTGTATAACCAATCAGTTGTATTATAAAATTTTTGAAAGTAGTTTTTACAATGATTTCAAGTTACAGATAGAAATTATAAGTAAAATAATTCCAAAGAAGATGTAAGTAAACAATTATTTAGTGTTAAAAGAGTAACTAGTTATGTAGAAGTCAGATTTTGCTTGGAAACAAGGATGGACTAGAGACAAAATACAAGACAGAACAACATGGTGAGTTTATGTATACTATGGTGGAGAGTTCAGGAGGGTGTGTGTGAATAGTGAAACAAAATTATAATATCGATAAATTAATTTAATTTAGTAAATTTGGAACCTTAACAGTGAGTTCAACTCAGTGAGTGAAAATCAAAATCAAGAATGAATGGAATGTTATACAACAGAACAAAACATAAAAGCACACGAACAAAACAATTGTGGTTACCAGGTGGGGGTAGTTTGAGACTGATCACACACTCTTTCTGTATGCATATGTTGGGTCGAAGTCTTTTGATAGAATTTGTCTAATTAGTAGCTTATACGTAGCAATTGATCTTATTTTAGCTCTACATAGAGCTTATTATACAGACAGAAATACCATTTGAGTCAACGAAGTCTAAGAGTAAAAAAAAAAATCAACAAGTTTATTTTTCTTTTTCACAACAGAATAACTTTATTTGATGTAACACAGTATTGTTTGTATACTGGTGACCTGTCCAGCATATTTCAGTGTTCATAATCATATCACTTCTCTTTTTATTTACAGTTATCTATTAACATTTGAGCAGGAAACATTATTTTTATTTTTATTATTATTACTGTTATTCCTTTGGGTTCCAAGTGGAGTATAGGGCTTCAATAGCCCTCTCGATTTTGTTCTGTCTTCTGCAGTCGTCTGTAGCTGACTCCTCGATTGACCATATGTTTCAACCTGTTCCTCACACTATCTTTCTGATGCCACTATGAAACACCTAGCTTATCGTTTCCCATTCGGGTTCCACTCTAGCATCTGCCTGGTGTGTGTGTGTGTGATATCATCCAGCGACTTTCTCAGAATATGTCTAATCCATCTCCGTCTCCTTCGCCATATTTGTGGGACGATAGGAAACATTTTACTCTCTCTGTATGCTTACAGTCGGACATAGGTGGAGCAAACACTGATGCTAATTAATATATGTCCCCATTATATTTCATCGGCTCTCATCACCTGCAACTCCCAATGAAACTAGTTATAATACAGATATAACATATATTTTGCCTACCATCAAGAATCAATCCTCCAGTAAGGACTGTTCCCAGAAAGTTGCAAAGCCCTCGATGAAAAAGACTGAATAGTCTAGACTCATCAATTAGCAAGCATCTGGTTCCCGGACGACATCAAGTGGACGCATTGGCAGCATTCAGAATAATTAACAGACAAAACAGTATGTCTTTTTCGGTTTTTACTGAGGCTATCACAATAAAGCGACTGAAGTCTGACATGTGTGTTCAAATGGACTCTGTCTTGAGACTCCAGTTTTCCTGGTGTCTCTATCGTTGGTAATTCATTTTCTTTTGATTTTATCATTTTTCAACTTGTCACAGTTTTATCTTGACTTTCATGTTAGACTTAAATTCTCGATTCTTTGAATTGTACTCACAGTATTACGTTGTCGTCTTTTTATTTGACTTCGTAAACGCCAAATTCTGATTTTTCAGTCTTATGAGTTTTAAACGCTGCACTTTATTACCTTTTATCATGTAATCACCACTGACTTATCACCACTCTAACAATAAAACTGTTTACTTTCTACCACAATATTCGTCCTTACAATAAACATATATATATATATATGTATATTGTTATACAAATAATGTGAGATAATTTCATACAGTTGGTCCCCTTGATAAATTTCCATAGAGAAATAAAGACCAGATTTGCAGTATAAAATGATATCATCATTCTACTTCACAGGTTCTCATCAGCTGCAAAATACCTGAAATTACACTTATAATGACATTTCATACTTCATAGTCTGAAAGATAATAAAGAAAACATTATAAGATAAACACATCCGGAATATAAGTATTACAATTATTTTAGTTTAAGTTACCTTCATTGAATTGAAATTTTGATTTTCCCGTCGATTGATTGGACCGAAGTGCTCGGTCTCAGGTTGACATGTCGGCTTCTTGTGCAGATGCTTCGACGATGTCTGGGTATTTAATTAGTATACAATGGGTGGATGGTGGCTAGCAGTGGAATCCAGGATGCGCATTTCGTCCTATTTGGCTACTCGTCAGCTGGATGTACCTGCATTTCCCAAATAGGACGAAATGCGCATCCTGGATTCCACTGCTAGCCACCATCCACCAATTGTATACTAAGTTACCTTCACTTTGTGTGCTATCAAACTATAGGAAAAAGGGTGGTTTGAGGAAAAACAGAAAACAGAAAAACCGAATAAACGAACGTCAACATGGCAACTCAAGAAGGTTAAAGTTCATCAAACTGAAAACTTGTTTAGTGAACTGAGCTCGCTAGCGTGTATGACTAATCAGTGTAATGAAATTGATGCGGTTACCGAGGGGTGAATGATTGAATACACTCTCTTTCTGTATGCATAAGTTTGGTCTGAGACGTTTGATTGCTGTATTTGCTTCAGCAAATCTTAGTAGATTCGCTGTCCTTCGTATGTTTAATATTTTGAAGGATTTGTAAATCTCGACAAAATGACCTGTATCCACAAGGTGTGTCTGGTAACTGCACTTCGTAAATATCTGATTCCTTTTAAGCATACATTTCTTGGAGTATGCTATGAAAACCGGATAGAACCCCCTCTTTCTGTCCTTCCAATGTATTTTCTGCCCCAGGTGCACACAAATTTATAAATGCAGTTGGAGGTAACATCAGCAGGGTACTTATCTAGTTTCGATTGCCTTATAGAGCATGTAGTACTGTATAGTGTCACCAGATTAGCTGCAGGGAAGCATCTTTTTATTGCTGCTTTCATCCTCTTGTCAATCTTTTGTGATCCTGCTTCTCCTTTGAATGGGAGGCGAATGAACACTTTCTCCTTTTCAACTGTTGAATACTTCGCTTTCTCATCTTTTTCTTTGCTGTACTTTAAGATAAATCCGTTTGGATACCCGTTTTCTTTAAGGCATTTTTCACCAAAGCTTAATTCTTCTTCTGCCTTGTTAAGCGAGCATAACTTTAACCTTTTTGAGTTGCTATTTTGACGTACAAACTAACACTGTCCATTAGATTTGTCTGTTTCCCATCTTCTCTCATCTGGCTTTTTTCTTTCATAGTTTGATAGTATATAAATTAATGGTAACTTAAACTAAAAACTGTAATACTTATATTCCGGATGCATTCATCTTATAATGTTTTCTCTATTACCTTTCAAACACTGAAGTATGAAATGTCATTATTCATAACTGGCATTGTAATTTATTTATTTTTTATATTTTTGGATTACACCTTGATTCCACACTGTATTTTTGGTACAAGTATGCAATTTTCAGCATGGATATCAGTAGCCCAAATTTCGCAGGCCTACCATAGATATCAGGTGTGCGTCGGCAGGGGATCGAACCTCGGACCATGTGCATGGTAGGCGAGAGTCCTAACCACTGTGCCACCGACGCACAGTTAGCTGATGAGAACCAGTGAAACAGAATGATGACATCATTTTTTACTGCAAATCTGGTCTTTCTTTCTCTGTTGAAATGTTAGATAACTTTATTATCCTTGTGTTCTATTTTATTATGACTTTCTTGCAACAGTCAGTCCTCACTGGAGGACTTATGCACGATGATAAACAAAATATATGTTAAGATTGTATTATAACCGGTTTTATTAATTATTAAAGGTTGTACACAGATGACAAGAACCGGAAAAATAAAATGGACCAATCGTACTATTTTGCACTAATGTTTGCTCTACCTCTGTTCAGATTTAATATAGGGAGTTCGTGTATAAATGTGGTTCCTTTAAAAATGAATAGTATTACTGGAGGAAAGACAAGGTTTGAAAAATAACTAAAGGTATAATGCAAGTATATGAATTTTCAAGATTAACCTATAATCATTATCATTATCATCATCTTATGTGTATGGGTTAATTTACTGCGCTCATCTATATTTTCCCGTATATATGTTTTTCATAAATGCGAGCCTTTTATTCAAACTAAATACTCAGTGCAAAGTCTTGCATGATGTTTCACTTTAGATTGGGAAATGAAATAAGTTGGGGGAACTAATGCAGGTTACAGGGTGCTGGACAGCTGTTTCGTCTTAGTTTACGACTCTTCGTCAGTCAACACTCTGTGATATTTAGGCTAGTCTCTTTTAATCATTCACCCCTTGTGGACTCGAATCTAATAGCTCATGAATTTCAACTTCAGTGTTGTAATTTAATGGTAGGCATAAAGTTTGAAAAGCATGGCTTTGATATGAGTCTGTGGAAAATGTTTTTGGGTTTCATCATGAGCTGAGAGTAGTTAGAGAACCATTGGAAAACCTGGGAGTACTGGACAGCTGTTTCGTCCTAGTTTGGGACTCTTCAGCAGTACGCACCCATCGGGATTCGAACCCAGGACCTTCCGGTTACAAAGCGAGCTCGTATACCATTAAGCCACTGAGACCCGATCCAATGGTCCTTGAATTCTAACTTCTGCCAATCCCGGCGGATGCGTACTACTGAAGAGTTCCAAACTAGGACGAAACAGCTGTCCAGTACTCCCAGGTTTTCCAATGGTTCTCTAACTACTGTCAGCTCATGATGAAATCCTGAAACCAATCAAATCCCTACAAACCAACACTTGAATACCAATAAGATGCTCACTGGCGACTGGCCCTATTCAGGTAGGTAGTTACCTGGGTTCCAGTGGGAAGTCGTGACCAGTAGGGTGCAGCTGGTCGGATGTGAGGACAAATACTCGCCACCGAAGACATTGGCTAGCGGTCGCGCTATGTCGTGAATTGGCAGAAGTTAGAATTCAAGGACCATTGGATCGGGTCCCAGTGGCTTAATGGCATACGAGCTCGCCTTGTAACCGGAAGGTCCTGGGTTCGAACGATGGCGGTGGGTGCGTACTCCTGAAGAGTCCTAAACTAGGACGAAACAGCTGTCCAGTACTCCCAGGTTTTCCAATGGTTCTCTAACTACTGTCAGCTCATGATGAAATCCTGAAACCAATCAAATCCCTACAAACCAACACTTGAAAATGTTTTTGTCCATTTAGGTTAAAATCTATAATTTTTATTTCTAACATCAAAAAGATAAATATTTCTATTTGGAAGACAATCTGTCTTTGCAAAAGAAAGTAAACAAGAATGATAATGAGGCGTTAGGCATTAACATTTTGCTGAACGTAAATGAGCTGATCGTTAAACTCATCGAAACGTGTATATGTGTATGTGTATATAATGATTGATTCGTCAAAGTTGTTTACAAGTCTCATAATTCTCAAATTCTTCTGAGTTAGTATTAATATCTGCATTGTAGATTTTTAGCAAAACGCAGTTTAACCTGCCTAATTAACCGACTGATCTTTACTGTGTGAAATCTGATATCGTTTTGTTACTCAAACCTTGAGAAGTCAATTCAGAAAATCAAAAACCACTTTCCAGGCAACAGAGAACATTTTGAATTTTAATATTTTAGACTTTATACTGTTTATTACACACTTACACACATAGACATTTTAATAAAAAGTATCGATTCTTCTCTAGTAATTGATTTAGTTGTGTCTTATGTGAGAACAAAGCCAGTACCATTAAGCAAGATGGCGGAATTATTACTACTATTATTCCTTGGGTTCTGAGTAGAATATAGGGATTCAGAGGTATATCTCCATTATCTCTGTAGTCATTTGTGTTCGGCCCCACGATCATCCGTGAACTGTCTTTTCCTTCTCACAGGATCTCCTCCACGTTACATTCGGACCTACGCTCAACTCGCCTTTTTCCATACTTCCATTTTTTTCAGCATATTTGTGAAGTAACAGGTTCTTGATTGTTCAAGTATTGGTTTGTAGGGATTTGGTTGATTGGTTACAGGATTTCATCATGAGCTGACATTGGTTACAGAACCACAGGAAAACCTGGGAGTACTGGACAGCTGTTTCGTCCGAGTTTATTGATTGGTTTATTTCCCGAATTACAGGTTGCTTATCCTGCCTGGTTGTCATCTGAACTGTATTATTGAGCCAAGGAAGGGAGCTGTTGGTGGAAGTCAGCGGTGGCCTATTGGAAATGCTTTTGGTTCAAGTCTCTAAACCATATTGAACAACTGACTTGATATTAGTGTTGGATACTCGCATGTTGCTGTTTATGCAAACTGCGGTAGATCTCCATACATATTAAAGAGTGATGAATGTCTGTCTCGCTTTTCCGATCTTGGCTAGTTTGAAATCCTCATCTATGTCGCCTGTAATTTAGGTAGTGCTGCGCAAACAAGTGAAAGGAGTCATCTCTTTCGAATTTCTTCCGTTGATTATGCTTGGTTGTGGTTGTTGTCGGTTATCTGGTTGATTATTTTTATTACCTCTATCCTCTGTATGTTCACTTGAAGTTTTGTCTTCGCCTAATGTTCAGTCTCAAATACAACAGCCCATTAAAGACTATAAACAATTATCGTTATTTGTTTTCATCAAAAATTACAATATCTCTCTTTGAATAGACGCATATATTCATTCGATATCACACTTCTTTTGTTTTTAGGGTTTTAAATGGGACAAAGATTCGCTAAACTGTGCAATAGCTGACACATGCAGTACACTGTGCAATCCAACTACAACTGAATTCTGTTTTCTCAATAGAACATCAGGTAACGTCTGCTTTTGCTTTTTATTTGGGAATACTTCTCGTTATCTATTGGATATCGTTTTAGATAAAAGATAAATATATTCTCAGATAGATCTTATAAATCTGAATGGATTTATTTTGAAAGTATTGAAAATGCGCATTTATTTGAATGCATATACTTTTATTAGACACGAGGTAGTAACTAATATTATGCGTCTGGTCCATTATTTAGTGCAAACTGAATTCCGTCAGCCAAGTTTTTAATATGGCCACCATGCTCTCCATTAAGATACAGTTGTAATTATTGTTAGATGGTTGGAGGACGACAAAAGGAAGCCTTTGACCTAGATTTCGTACTTGCTGGTACTCACTAGTCAGTAAGATGTACCTGCAACCTTGAAGGAGTTCGCCTTCTCTCTGAGATTCAAACCCTTGTCACCCAGTGCTTCACTCGTAGACGTTACCACCTAGCTATTCGGTCTCGCGAGTGACCTCCTGCATGGTGGTGTTAGAAACTCTGGTTGAACACTAGTTAGTAAATAACTACTATTATGCATCTAGTCTTTCGTTCGGTGCAGAGAGAATTACACCTGTGAGCACGAATAAGACAGTGGTAGAGTCTTTGACTGCAGCTCTGCGTGGTACGGGTTCGAATCTCAGGAGGCACATGAGTTCTTCCAAGATTGCAGGTAGGCCTTGCTGATGGGTACCAACAAGCATAGGGATAAAAGTAGACTAGAGGGTGTAAAAACACACAAAATTAACCAATTACTTTCAAAGTAACTACTAATAAGCTCGTGGAGAAGTTGAAAACCTTACTACAAATTGAAGTATGCCCTGAGGATTTCGCCTATTAGGGCAATGAAAGCTTCCCAGGTAAACCATTCAGCTCAGGGAACACAAATATGCCAAAATTAGTTAAATGTCTAACGAGCCGAGCAATAACTCTAGTTAATACATCAGAGAACCTGGACAATGAAAGAGCCGGTGCTAAATAGCTACCCCATGAGGTTCATTGGGAAAATTACGAAAACTGACAAGAAAAGGTAAAATAATGGTGGAATTATCAGTCGTAATATAAGAATTTAAGGTATCTATAATTTTACCATATTAGTAAGGGAAATCTGAAACCCTGCATAAGATTCTTAATTGACCAGACATTGAGCTGCAATTTAAACCTACAAACTCATTCAGGTAGGACAAGCTCTGTAGGTTAAAGGAGCCTGTTGACCTAGTTAGACAAAATACTCTGCAATGATTGTGAGGTCAACTACATAGGTCAAACTAGTAGATCAGAACATAGGAATTTAAGTAAGTGTAGAATGACTCACCCCAGGGAGATGAATCATTTAGAAAAAATGCTCACCAATGCACTCAATCCCACAGTAGGGTGTGAGGTACAGTTTATTTCCTGAATCTTTGTGTCATAGAATCTACACTCAACGCATATGGAATAGAAATGATTAATAAAATCAAATAATAAGAAATAATGTTCCATTTTGTCTTGTTTTATTTCAGTTTATGTTATAATATTCTAACAATTACAAGTGTTGGTTTGTAGGGTTTTGAGTGATTGGTTACAGGACTTCATCATGAGGTGACATTGATTAGAGAACCACTGGAAAACCTGGGAGTACTGGACAGCTGACAATTAATTTACTTTCCTGACAACACTCGTCTTATTTCTTGTTTTGTTTGCATACACATCTCCGAATGTACCTTATCTTCCTGTTGTCTATTCCATGCATGTCCATTTAACTTTGAAATAACTTTTATTTATGCATTCACTTGTCTAGTGAATAAGGCCCTCATGTATACTTAAGTGATGTTGAAAGGTTGTGAGATTGCCTTAATGTGATTATGAGTAGCAATACGTTGTACATGAAATGTCGTCATTAGTAAATAATGTGTAAATAATGTGAGACTTCATCAAATAAATTTACTTTTGTCAACAACAGTATCTGTCAAAGTCGTTTAATTGAGCAGTTATTTTATGTACGCTTTTGACGGTATAGGACCATGATAAAGAGTATTTTACACTTTGAACTGAGTAGTGCATGCATGAAAGAAAATAATTCCAATCAAATATCGCAGTAAGCAGATTTTGAGTATGTTCCAATGGTTCTCTTTCTAAGAGTCTTTGAATTTGATCTCTACGGCTGTTGATATCAATCTAGGCACCATCTTCATTCACCTACACATGGAATTAGAACTCGTATTTTACCTATAAGTATTTATAGAGATTACTATTTCTGATTAATAGAAGGTTGTTAGGTTACATTTCTAGCCGAATTAGAAAATGGTCCTGTAACAGGGATGCTTAACAAACTTGAATATTATCACCGTTAAGTAGACGATACATTCATCGTTTGTGACAATAACTTGGATAAACAACATGTGATGCAACTCCATTATAGATAAGATTTTATTTTGATATATGACACAGTGTTAGACAGTAATATTTGCTGATGACCACATCTCGAGCACAAACTACTACCACTCATAATCATATCTAGTTACTCACTCACACAACTCCCTTCCTTCGTTTATATACATGAGTAAAAATTGATGATTAGACATTTGAATACAAATCAATATAAGATAAAGTACATTCGGAAACAATTTTAGTTTTATCAATGAAATACAATAAGATGGGAAATATGACGAGTGTTTTTATAGTCATAATAAGTAACTTGTAAGAATGCTGTGATATGCTTGAATTGAAATAGAATTTTGAGATTAATTATTATCCTCCTCTGATTCGACTGGTGGTAATAATATCTTCCATATCTCATGTATTCGCGTTGAGTCACTTCTATTGTATGTATTGGGTGTAGACTCGATGAGCCAGGCAGGATTAAGTAATCAATCTCTCTATTTATCTCCACCTACCTATATTACTTCTTAGAATTTTACCCCTCTCCCACTCTATTGTGTGGCTAACTGTATGTTGATTCATGCAGTGCAATGTAGTGCTGAGCGTTTTTTTCTAAATTACTTATCTTCGTGGGATCAGTCATTCTAATCTAAGCTGAATTCTTATGTTCTGACAGTCAGTCTGACTAACCCCGACCTACTAGTTTGACCTGTGTAGTTGACCTAACTTACAGTCATTGCAGGGTATTTTGTAAATTATATTATTTTGTTTGATTAGGTCTACTGGGTCTTTTAGCCTACAGAGTTTGTCCTACCTGAGTGGGTTTGTAGGCGTTAAATGCCACCCTAATTTCTGTTTTATTAAGAATCCTACTTAAGGCCTCGGATGTGCCCTCCTTATATGGTATAACAATAGATGCTTTATATTCTCTCTAATTCTATAATGGAGGTATTCTCTATCACAGTGCCCAAGTTTTATGCTTATAACATGTGATGCAAGTCATTAATAATGTGCACCTGACAATTAATTCACTTGCTATGAAGAATATCAGTGAAGCATTTCTTTTTTGGATTTTTTTCTTACCAAAAGGCCAGACGGCATGCTAAAGCAAAATATCTACAGGAAAGCAACGTGGAACGGTTAATATATACATTTCCATAATTTCGTACCCCTACAATATAAACGGGATTCGATTCTTTATCTTAGTCATAGTATTAGGCGCATGTGTACTGAGGATTGTATTGAATATGAAATTGAAAATCTTAAAAATACCCTGCTACAGAATGGTTATCCTACCAACTTTGTAAGGAAGTATGTTTCCCAAAGAACTGATAATAATGAGCGTGATACAATGAAACAGAAAAAGTTTTATTTAAGAGTACAGTTCAAAGGTGATATATCCAGTGATATATTAAACCGTAGGTTGATCTGATCGGTTGAAAGAACTTTCAGTGCTGCAGAACTACACACCAGGTTGTCAACTGTGCCATTACTGACACAGTGCACTGAAGATAAATTACCAAAAGATGGTCACATCAATGCATGTATTCAAATTCAGCTGTTCATATGGAGCTAGTTATATAGGTCGAGCTAAGAGGAATTTATCTTTATACAATCACTAACATGTTATTGTTTGGCTTAGGAAAAGGGTAAGCAAACCAATAAATCGTGCCATTTTATCTCATCTAGTGGATAGTGAACACCACATCAAAATAGATGAGTCATTTACGGTTGTATATAGAGTACCAAACAATCTGCCTAAAGACACACGATTGCGTCTCATAGCTACAGCTGAAGTTATAGAGATTAATAATAAGAAACTTGACCTATGTGTGCAAAAGAAGCACATTCATCCTCTTTGTTTACATTGGCCCATTATGAGGTCATCAGGGGAATAATCATCCATATTTTCATGTCATATTACGCCTTCTTATTCCTTTTCATCTAGTTTACTTTACCTCTGTAACTTACACTAAGCTTATTATGTCTGCAGTACTTTATTACAGTTCACAATTTAACCTCTTTATCTTATCACTGCACATGATGTCCGTCAACCTTTGAACTTACATTAAGTGTTCCCCGTTATTTGGTATTTGTTTGTATTTATTGTGTGGTAATCATTTTCTTCGCACACCACTGAATATAACTCACGCCTTACCCTCAATGAAACTGATATTCTGTTGACTATAAATACACTAGTATGTCATCCATTTACCTATTCACACTTTATTTTATGTTCTGAATGACTATACGTTTTATAAACCTTAAACCAAAAATATTAAGTAACGGACCATATTTCCATTACTATACATGTACCTCAATACAGACAGTTTCTGTTGTAATCTTCACATGCCTTTAATGGCTATTTTTATGATAAGATTTGGGGATTTATAACTGTACAGCCTGAGGAAGGAGTTCTCGAGGCCACAGTTGTTCGCACAAAAAAACCATCTTGTTCTGATTACACTTTGGGGATTTTTAATTTACTGAAATAGCATTTTGTCGAAACTAATTGATCGACCTAGTTAGATTGGACACTAGTAACTGGCGTGATGTGTCTAGTCCTTTCTTTGGTGCAGGCTGAATTCTACCAGTGGGGTTTGTAATGTGACCACTATTCCAGGTAGCTCGCTATCACGGTGCACACAGCAGTCCTATAGGAGGTCAATCGCGAGCCCGAATAACTCAGTGGTAGCGTCTCTGACTGCAGCACTAGGTGGCAAGGGTTCGAATCTCATAAGGGACATGAGTTCCTTCAAGGTTGCAGAGAGGCCTTGCTGATAGATGAGTGCCAACTAGCACGAAACCTAGGCTCAAGGCTTCCTGCAGATTGCCTCCAACCATCTAATATCATTAAATCGACTTAGTTTGTTTGACGTCGGATTGTTTTATCTATCACCTTCTGACCTATAACTTTGAAGATCTTGTCTGTTACGGTTTGTGGGGAGTGAGTCCACTAACTTCATTTCTGACTTATACTTTTAATGACAATCGATTCCCACTGTTTTCATCAAAATTTCTTTTTTTGTTCGTTTACGTTCCCGGTGGAGCATAGGGCTTCAGGTCACAGCTCTGAAGTTTCGGTAGCAGTGGTCTTTATTTATTTATTTTACGAGGTGGGATTGCTAGCCTCATGCCCAATCATCCCTCTTTACCAGTTTGTTCACTGGCTTAGTGAGACAAAGCACTGAGTTGGCCGGGGGATGAACCACGCACCACAAAAGGTGTGGTTTGCGAGCATTGTACAGCTAAACCATCATCGAAATAACGAATAATTAGCGGTTTAATTTCAAAAGTGGGTACTTGAATTAGTTTGTATTTCCTTGCTTAGTTTACAAGAGGAACTGTTGTTATTGTTTTCTTTTTCCGTTTCTCATTTTCGCTGTAAAGTGAATTCAACTTTGTTTAGTCACCCTTTGCTCATGTAGATACTCGTTATTTTCAGTCTACTTTTATCGCTTCGTACTGGCTGGATTCCTTGATGTGGTTGACAAATGTTTCCTGATATATTCATAAATAGTATCCAAATCCACACAGCATCATAGTTTATCTCGACTTGGAGTATGGCATCTGATTGCTTTATTCACTTTATCGTTTTGTCATTTGTCTTACCGTCGCCCATTTCATGTAGTTATATAAACACATGAGTTTTCAAAGAAATTTCCTTTCGTAACTTTGCAGCTGTACAATTATTTGGGGGTGTTTATGCATGCAGTGTAGATTAGCAACATAAGTCAAGGGTTATTGTTAATTAGTAAATCAAAGTGCATGAGTAATAACTATTTTTCAAAAGTAGGGAACAGTCTTACGCAATCAACAAAGTTGACAACTGATAAGTTGAGTGATGAGTAATCGTTTGGAAATAGTTGAGATGGGAGACAAGAGAATAAAAAAATACAAAACGGACTACACAGAGCTTATTGTACAGTTACTGGAGAAGATAAGGAAGGGAGAAAACAGGAAAAGAAAATGGTACTAAGGTCATGGGAGATAAAAGAGGCTGGATGAAACGTTTCTGAACAGAAAGTTCAGCTGTCTGTCTCCTTATGGATTGCTAAGGTTTTAGTTGCATGAGGTTGATGGAGGGGAAATCCTATTCAACGATATGGCCGTACTCTTTATGTGACTGTGAGAGAAGTCTCTGGTGATGCAGCATGACCAGAAGTAATATTACATCCAAAAACTGAGATACTGACTGTCGTGAGTTCTCTTTTTGACAGCCATGCTGGCAAGTGTTCATGGGCATGTCTAGACAGTCTACTGCTGGTACGGTCTGTTTCCTTAGCTTCAGAGGAGCAGATGAATTGGTGAACAGACAGAAGAAGTGTATGAAAGCGTCAGTGAAATCGACATGAATAGTGACGACTGTAGCTTTCTTTGCTTAGATAGATGATGCTAGGAACACGTAAAAGAAAAAGCAATTAGTCTATTTTGTGCGGAATCCTCTGCATACTGAACTATATCTCTAGTTTCTCATTAATATACTTCTGTAACATCCCACCATCATTATATTGTTTCCTAACTTTCAAATTATTCGTAAAATCTCGTATAAATCGGCAGTCTATTTTATCATTACAGTTTTTTAACTTTGTTGAGCCTATATCGTAAGCAAAACAAAGCCTGTTTTTAATACTTTTCCTCAGATTTTGCCCATTTATCAGCATTTTTTTCATTCAGTTCTTCTATTGTCGTTTGTTTGACACTTAAATCATTTAGACATGTATATATTAGTTATTTCACTTAGCACTAGAATAGTTGCAACTGTTTAAAGCACTACAGTAATTATGCATTTTGCCTATTGCAGTTTTATGTTGCTTAAAGCATTTTATTAATTGAGGAATTACATTTTTTCGTTACATGATTAGGTGTGGCAATATGTAACTGTAAAACTGGTTATATGGGCTATGATTGTAGCCAACCATTTGATGCATGTATAAGCAGTACACAGTTTACAGTAGATCCATTAGATGCTGGCCCGTATATCCCATCAGGAAATGAAGCCTGTGGAGTGGTGTTGAGTGTATACAATCATTGCAATCCAATGAATGAAATGCACACATTCAATTGTACATGTGGTACAGGATATACACGAGACCTGTCTCTGTCATATGATAATTGCCTAAAGCAAATAGACAAGTGTGATACACACCTGTGTATATATGGTGAATGCGTTAGATCGAAAGTGAGTCTAAACATTAATTTTATCTTTTATTGATATTATTCTTGATAAATATGTGTTTTACCATGTCTTTATATATTTCTGGCTGACGAACTGACTGACTGATTTATCACCTTGAAATTGTCGGTATTAGATGGTTGCAGGCAATCTGCAGGAAGCCTTGAGCCTAGGTTTCGTGCTAGTTGGCACTTACCAGTCATCAAGGCGTATCTGTAATCTTGAAGGAACTCACGTCCCTTATGAGATTCGAACCCTTGCCATGTGACATGGTGGCCACATTGCAAACTTGACTGATAGAATTCAGTCTGCACCAAAGAACAAAGGACTAGATACATTACACTAGTTACTGACTAGTGTCCGATCAGAAATATCATGGAACCTTATTAAAAATGTACATCTGTTCACTTCAGAGAAGTACACATAGAAGTATAGAAGATAAAAGCAATGAGGCTACAATCGCGGAAACATAATGAATTATAAACAGATAATATCTTTGCAGTTCAGTTACTGATTTCAAAAGTTTATAAGTTCGTTTCTGACATCTGACTCTTCACGCAAAACCTTTGCTAAATATGGTAGAGTAGAATTTTCATATTTGGTAGCTGTACAAGTATAAATTCTCATGAAGTTTCTTCTGGTTTCGCCTCGCGGAGAGATACAAGGAAAAGTTGCGAATAAGTAGAAAGGATGTTCAGTATGAGACAAGACAACCTTAGCCAACTGCTTGTAACAACTGAAGTGCCTATCGACAATGTCAGTTATTTGAGTCAAAGGCGCACCACGAACCCTACTAACAGCCTTCAATGTTCTACATAAGATGACATCATCTTTCTTGAGAAGTCCATGAGGAGAAAATAGGGAGAAACAACGAAGAAGAATGAGTAGGATAAAAGGATTAGTGAATTGCAAGAGAAGAGATTGAGTTATGTCAGAAAGCCTTTGCTTCCTTATGTAACGAGTCAAAAGGTAAATTTTCTTAGAAATCACCAGGGGATGAGACGACCAACAAAGATTTGAAGAGCAACTGAGACCATGTTGGTTTTTATTCGACGGCTTATATCCTGTCACAGAGCTGTCAATATTGCAAAAATGATGGGACTGAATGAGTCTACTCAAGTTCTTTTAGCATCTGAAACTAAAGTAAAAATTACGACATATAGATGGATTCATATCAGGACCATTTAGGTGGGACCACTTGTTAACTTCAAGTAAGAATCTGTTCATATAAGAACAATCCAGTGCAGAAACTGCCAAAACAGAAGTGGTTAGATTATCGGCATATTTGTTGAAGTTAGCTTTGGAAGAATACAGAAGGTCACGTAAAAAGAAAGAAAACAGAAGTACAGAGAGTACCGTACCTTGAGGCACACCAGTTTCCGTTAGTGACGAAGTGAAGCTCTTTGCATTCAAAAGAATACGTTGTTTTCTTCCCAATAAATGAGAAGACAGTCACCTCATGACCCAAGACACAGTGTATTTCGAAACCAGCTTGCTAAGTACGAGTGCCCTGAGAATAGAGTCAAAAGTTTATACCCATGTGTTTGACTCATACTGGCGGTGAATTATTTCATCAACTGATACCATGTTTTATACCGACCACCTCTAACTACTTTGTAATCTAACCCTACTTTTGCAAACATTCTTCGTTAACGCAGGTGACAGCTCAAAATGCCTAGTACATGAATATTTTATAAGTGTAGTTAATTTCGAAAGCAAAGACGGATTGTTCTTTGTGGATGTGTTTTCTCCGAACCCACTTCCTCTTTGCATGAAAGTAGAATCAAAAATCCTAGATGCCATGATTCATTCCCCTGTGGTAATTCCTTAAAGACTGGCTTGATTTCTTATGAATACAGACGATAATTGAGCTACGTATTTCCGGTAAAGCTATCTCGGATTTCCATGCATTAGCTGATACTCTAGGTAATATAGCTAACGATTTATGACCATCATCGTTAAATACCCTTAGAGTTAAATCATGAGGTCCTAATGGTGGCACAGTGGTTGGGACTCTCGCCGACCATGCACATGGTCCGAGGTTCGATCCCCTGCCGACGCACACCTGATATCTATGGTCGGCCTGCAAAATTTCGGCTACCGATATCCATGCTGAAAATTGCATACTTGTACCAAAAATACAGTGTGGAATCAAGCTGTAATCAAAATAAATAAATATCAAAAACATCTTTTGCAGACTCGGATAGAAGTGGTGATCGACACTATTGTAACTGTAAGCCAGTTGGAATGTCAGTCACAGTGTTTAGTATATCGTTCCAGCCATATGTCCTGAAAAATCGATAAAGTTTCACCCTTCTTAGGAGCTGTTCTACTTATCATAGTTTTCTTGGACTCGTCTCCCAATAGGTTCAAATAGTTGACGGTTACTACTTATTACTTATTTCTGTTCAGCTTCATTCACACTGATATACTTATAACAATGCTAAGTAAAGAAAGTAGTAAAAAAGTTAAATACAAGCAAACGACGAAGGATATGAGAATGAAAAACTGTTGGAACAGGGAACTGAAAGCTTTCATGCTTCACTACAAAACTTCCATCCCATCTATCTGTAACACAATCCCATTTGGCTTTTAAACACTAGCTAAAGTGTGTTCAGATTCACATTAAATAAACCTGTAAGGATTAAAACACAAGAAACAAAGCATAAAAAACATGTTTTTTTTTAGATTTTGACATGTTAGCAGTGAAAATTAACCCACATAAAAGCCATATATTTATGAATGTATCACCTAATTTCGTGTTTCCGAGGTTATTAAATGATTAAGAACACAATATTCGGTGAAGAGAGTCTTTTCAAAGAATTTCTTATGAGGATGTACAATCATATATATATATATATATATATATATGGTTTTTTGAGAAAATATATCCTGTGAGAAAGTTTAAATAGAGGTTTGAATAGCTAATAGTAATAATAAACGTATGAAATGAAATCAGAATGTTTGTGATTATAAGTACAGTTAAATATCCACTGGCGAAAAGAATCATCTCATACATAGAATCTGTCTATCTGTCTGTTTTCGACAAGTTGCCACACTCCATGTAGCAAGATACATAGAATAATTATCAGGTGTTATTTTGCAGGGATATGACTGATTACAGGTGTAATTGCGAGTTAATGTCAGTTTGAGGACCCTCAAGAAACCTGAGACAACTGAAAACTTGTCTCGCCCTAGTTTAGTAATCTTCAGAAGTGCACACCGACCGAGGTTCGAACCCAGGACCTTCCGGTTGCAAGGCTAGCTCGTAGACCTCTCACCCACTAGGACCTGATCCAACGGTTTATAAATCCCGACTTATGCCAATTCGCAATTTTAATGCGAGTAACTGATCTCTTGCCTGAATTGGTGGATCCTCTAGTTTCGGCTTCTCGACAGAATAATTTACAGGATGTACAGATATTGGAAGGAAGCGTCAAATTATAGAATTAGTAGGCAAATAAAAAACGACGCGTGATGTGAAATTTAATAGGAACAGAATTTAACATGTAATTTTCCAGACTGCAGATGTTATGAATTTCCTGAAATAATTTGAGTCTTGAGTCAGATTTATTGATTATAAATGATTTAAAATAGTTCCAGTGTGTTTAAGAAAAGAAAATTAAAACAAGGTTATTTCTTAAACACGTTGGGATTATTATTTTGAGTAATCTATAGGGATTTCACAGAAAAAGAATTTTTGATTTAAAAGTGACAAATGGGACAAACGAAATAATACTGATTAATATATGTGTAAAACTTGGACACTGTGGTGGTAGTAAGTAATTCCATATTAGTTTGTTTATTAGATGTATCACACAGTGAAACAGCACTATATGCTGGAAGATAAAGAAAACTATAAAACTAAAATTTCAAAGTCGTGTGATCAAAATTGATATGATTATGAACAATAAATTTTGTTCGAAACCTCGTCATCCAGTATATAATACTGTTTCACTGTGTGATACATCTAATAAACAAACTAATACGAAATAATACTGAAAACAGTGTAAACTGGGTACAGTAATATTAACGATAATGATAGCAATAATAATAATAGTAATCGTAGCAATGAGGGAAATATACATAGATTCACTAGACAAACGAAATTAAAAAATTAAATTTTCGTTGCTCTGCAGCGAAGCAGAAGTAGGAATGGCACATACTTCTTTTATGCACAAGAGTCTGGCTTGAATTCATGAATAGTCAAGGCCCCTGCCGTCTTTAGAAGTTTATAATGAAGAAACAGCATGAATTCGATAGGTGATCTTAAAATCATGGTCAGAAATGATACAGTGATAGAAGCCGATTAAGTGTCCTACAGTAGAGCTCCTCAAAGCCTTCCTTTCTCCTTTGTAAAACCATGATTCTGGAATATGTTCTCATATCTGTGTAGATAGCATTCTCTCTAATAAATTATTGACAGTACACTCTCCCAAACTAGCTGTTTCCCCGTGTTTCTGGTGTACTACAAAGAGAACTGCACACTTGGCTACCTGTTTTAAGACATTTGACAAAGTTGTGACGCTTGAATTTGAATTTAGGACGCAATAAAATGAGAGGAAATAGTTAAAAATAATCATTTGCCATTGGGATTTGTTTGATACTGACATTTTCTTTGGATAACCGTATACTACTGAAATATCTTAGTGAGTAGTTCGAGTTTTACAGTTTATTTGAATCATAAGCTGCATTTGAGATTTGGGAAAAAAAAATAATATAAACAGATTACATACTTTTGAAAACATTTGTCTCTTGAAGTCGATGAAATAAAGCAGAAAAACCATTCATACAGTTTACAGGTTTGTCATCTTATTTCTTTTCAATTATACACAGATTGTCCAGAGTAACGTACATTTATGGATAGTTTAATATAACTCACAGACAACAGAGATGACCGACGTTAGCGAACAGTGAACCATCTCTCCCTTGACTTGCTGGAATATCTGTTACTAGTCTTCCACAATAAATTTTGGGACTGTCAGTTTGGACCATCTTAATTTATGATTTTATATTACTGGTTGTACTGCTTTCTATGATTATCCGAAAATGTCACAACTGGGCATATTGGTGAATCCGTGGCAACCACCCCTATGTTTATGCTTAGGAGGCAAATTTTTAAGAATCCAGACATCTTTCCTAGTTTTCGCCGACTAATTTAGTGAGGTAGAGCATTGGAATTCATTCAAGGAGAGTGGGTTTAGTGCTATCCAAATATCAACAAGTTTAAAAGAAAAATTTCATAGATTCAGTGTTCTGTCTGGGTAGGATAGTTACTTTGGTGTCTTGTATGTATTTTTCATATACAAAACGCATATCAGACACTCGAGAGGTTTAAGGTTTTGGCTACTGAAACCTATTGACCTACTCGACAAAGAGTTTCCACACCAACAGGTAAAATAAGTAGTTTGAAACATGGTTTAAGCCGCTAGTAATCATTTCACAGTCATCAAAAGAAGATTAAGAAACCGTCTACGGGATAGCATTAACAGTAGAAAGGAAGCAAGGATTGATATGATAATAGGCGAACTTAGGGGTAACAATTAACACGAATATTGAGGGAATAGGTGTTGAAGTACCAGAAGAATCGTTAATCTATCTTGATCTAATAGCATTTAGTCTCTTTCAAGCTATTCACACCTTTATTAGCTACGCTTAGAAAATAAAAGAATGAGGTCTAATATATTTATTGTTTTTATTTGATTCCTTTACGTTCCGAACGGGACATAGGGCTTCAAACTTGAGCTTTGAGGTTTCAATAGGGTTCGTGTTATTCTTATTTCTCAGGATGGGGTTGCTAGCTTCATGTCTGATCTTCCCTCTTTTCCGAGCTTACTATCAGCTAAGCAAGGCTTAGGAGTGCATCGACAAGGTGTCAACGCGGAACCGTATTCATGGTTGGTCAGCATTCTACCCCTGAAACAGTAACGCTTTAATTCATACGACCAGTGAACACTGAAAAAGTTTAAGAAATAATTGGATTTCCATCTGTGCATCATTCGTTTTCTCTCGAATTTAACTATCAGATATTACCTTTTTACTTTTTCTTTTTTTTTAAAAAAGGACCTTACTGAAAGTGTATGTGATTGTGAAGAAGGATATACTGGAGAAAAATGTGACATACCGAAAGGTGTTTGGTCAGCTTGGTCAGATTGGACTGTTTGTGAACCAGGCTGTGGTCCAGCGAGACACAGTAGAAGATTTCGTATATGCCTGTCTGAATATGAAAAGGATTGTGTTGGTGAAGTGGAACAGGTAAAATGAGAATATCTTTCAGTAATATTTATCCAGTTTTATAGGCATAATTTGTTTGTACTTTCTTTAAGGTTCTGATTATTCTATTTCATATACTTATCAGCATACATTTGGGTGTTAAAATATGTCAAACTGGTAACAAACTCTGGAAGGAAGCTTGTTCACACAACCAGTTCTTCTTTTGCAATAATGAAACTTTGATGAAGAGTTTAGCGAATATTCGGTATCGGTGTGCGTAATTCATTTGAAAAAAATATTCTTCGATAGATGTAGTCATGTTGAGTAATGTTTAGAAGATGAGCTGACGTAGGACTCTGAATAAAAGTGCATTATCTTTAATTTGTCACAATTGAGAAAGGAGGCACAGAAGAAGAGAGGATGAATATGTTAGGAAAGTTAAATAAACTAAGATGCATGTGGGATAGAAAATAATTTGATGGAGTTTAGTGTAGATTTTCAAAATGTGAATCTTCTCAGCGACTGAATACATCTGCGACGTTGTCTAAGATTTTCAGAAATATAAGATGAAACTATCTCTCATTCTCAACAAGCTAGCTAATATTTTAGTTAATATAGCCAATATTTCATGACCACCATACCAATATACGTTTGTAGTTCAACCATCAGGCCTTACTGGTTTGTCTTATTCTCTATCGACTAGATTTGCAGGTCCGACGTCTACATTCCATTCCAGTAGGATTTGGATGGTTTTCGATTGTAGTGCAGCTATGGGTTAGTGTTCAAGTCATCTCATCTGAATGCTGGATCTAAGGCAAGTAGCTTATTCAAGGTAGCATTATATTAAAAATTCTATCTGGAAAGTTTGTAGCATTTAATCACATTACGTGAGTGTAGTATTATGGTCATTATACACAAGCAGAATCAGTTGTATAGAGAAACGATCCTGGATTCCATTTCTTCAGCCAGTTATTCACTTCAACAAACCTTAATCACAGGCTAAGTCGATTTAAACTCTCAACACACACACAAACACACACACACACACTTTTGAAGACTTTTTATTGCATGTGAATTAACGCCTTAGTTGGTTCTAGCTTTGATTGCTCACTGGGCAATAACTAATTTCATGCATCCTGTCGATTGTTTAGTGCAGGCTGAATTCTATGAGTCAAGTTTGCAATTTGGTCACCATGCACTGGGTGATGTGGGTTAGAATCTCAGTGTTCCTATCGATTGTATCCACTCATTTTAGATCCATATAGTGCGAGTCAGCTAACAGGGTAGCCACATTCGAAAGTTGAATGACGGAATTCAATCTTCATCAGTCTATGGACTAGACTTATAACATTAGTTACTACCTGGTGTATCCATTACAGTCCTTTGAGAAGTAAATGGCGAGGCCAGGCCGATAACGTCTCTGACTGCGGCAGTGACTGACGCAGATTTGAATCTCAAAAGGGAGGTGAGGTCCTCTACGATTGCAGATACGCCTTCTTGGTGAATGTCAAAAAACAAAACGAAAATTAGTCCCACAGTTTCCTGCCGATCGCCTCAAATCATCTAAAGAATTATTTTTCTCTTAAAACTGACTTGGTTGTTAGACCATAATAAAAAGAATGCACTGTCATAAAATAAAGACTACTTTTTTTCCTATCCATTTTTTCACTTTAGGTACGATCCTGTGGTGAAGATCTAGACTGTAGACATGATATGTCGATTGAAGAGATCACCTGGCTTCAGTTTATGCAATGGACTGAGAAGATTATGTTATACACTGTGATTTACATTGGGTGTGTAGCAGTACTAATAACAATTATAAGCATATTTAAACGTTATTATCCCGATCCGAATAGGAGAATTTCACGTATGCCAAGTATGCTGCAGACTTTGTCTTCAAAGAAATCACCAAACCTAAGCTTAGAACACGACAAACATTTTGGCACTCATTCAAGAACAAATAAATGAGGCATAGAAGCATTGAACTGTACCAAAAATAGCACTAGTCGGGAAAAAAGAACTAATCGTTTGAGTTTGAGAAATGTTTTTAAAACTTTTACAATATAATTTTATATTTTAAAGAATATGTATATAATTTGCTAAAACTACTGAGCATGTTTTGCAATTACATCAAAGAGGACAAAAGGATTTTTGAACGCATAAAGGTGGCTTGAACTTTCTAATTGCTAGGGCTTCTACAAACTTCAGGATACGCCCCAAACACGTTTTATAGATAGGTTTAAAAGATCTGTTAACATCAATTTTATGTCCTGTCTCTATAATATGTTTCGCAATAGAAGAGCTAGGTCTCCTGTTCTCACTGTTAATAGGTTCTGATGATTCCATTTGTTTCTGGAGTCATTTTGGAATATGCTCTGAAGCCCTTATTCGCAGAGATCGATGAGTCCTCCCTATGTATGTGTGTCCACACGTACATTCGAATTGGTAAATACAGTGGGATGTGACGTCATTTTTCGCATGTTCGAAGGGCTTAGATAGATATAATGGCTTTACATTCTCTATTATTATGATATTAGCTGCATAAAAAGTCTTTTTTAACAGCAGCGTTCAGCCTTTGTCTAGTTATCAAACTGCTTTGATGTCCCGTATAGGGTAGCCTGATGTACATGTCTTTCTTAGGGGCGAGTTGGAGAGTGGGTCTTGGTGTTCTGACTACTTTATATCTCCTGATGAACTTGTCTGGATAATTGTTATCAACCAGAGTTTGTGTCAACTTTCCTTCTTCTTCTTCATCAAGCGTGTCTTCAGTGCATATTTGTCGGATTCTACTGAAGAGGCACCTTACTAAGCCTCTTTTGTACCGAATAGGGCAGAAACTGTGGTAATTAAGATACCACATCCCACTGTATTTACCAATTCGAATGTACGTGTGGACACACATACATAGGGAGGACTCATTGATCTCTGCAAGTAAGGGCTTCAGAGCATATTCCAAAATGGCTCCAGAAACAAATGGAATTATCAGAACCTATTAACGGTGAGAACAGGAGACATAGCTCTTCTATTGCGAAACATATTATAGAGACAGGACATAAAATTGATGTTAACAGATCTTTTAAACCTATCTATAAAACGTGTTTGGGGCGTATCCTGAAGTTTGTAGAAGCCCTAGCAATTAGAAAGTTCAAGCCACCTTTATGCGTTCAAAAACAATTCGTCATCACATTAAACCTTCCTTAGTAAATTTTGTTTTGATACCACAGCAGATGTACTATTACCTCTGCTATTTGGTTTAGTGGTCTTCATTTTTATTTTGACCTTGAAAGGGATTTTTGTCTTTTTAAGTAATATTTCGCATTTTTGTCTGAGTATTTTTTGCTTCAAACTGTTATTAACTGATACGAATTGCCCTAAATAAATATGTATATACCCCTGTCGTTACGTATTGATTAGGGGTTGTTTAACAAGAAGGATAAAAGTACTAATTAAGGGTATGTCTGGCTTATGTGCAGCACTTGACTTGATGTCTCAAACAATGAACTTTTATGACTTTGTTTGTAGGGATTTGACTTTGTTTCAAGTTTGTTCACGGATTGACATCAGTTAGAGGAATATTGAAAGCCAGTTGGGAGCAATGGATAGCTGTTTCACACTGGTTTCGGACTCACCAGCAGTACGCACCCAGTACCGGCGATTGAACCTACAACCTTCTGCTTACAAGGCAAGCTCGTGAACCATTCGCCGACTGAAGAGGGGGGGTGAGCCACCTCAATGACCAGCCCATGAATTATAACTTCCACCACTTGTTGATATTAGCGTAACAACCTGTCAGTGTTGTTGGCTAGTATTTGTCTTCACTCCCGATCGAATGTACCCCACTGGCCAAGGCTTCTTATTAGGACTTCTGGTAACTTCGTCATGCAACCAGTCAATCACTAGCGAGCATAAGATTCATTTTCAAGAGTTAGTATGTGGGGATTTGACGGTTTTTGACAGTCCTCTAACTGATATCAGTCCGTAATTAAGTCTGAATCAACTTTAAGCTAAAATAAAATGATAAATAAGTGCAGCAAAGACTACATCCACATTTCATAGTTTTAGTTGTACCTCCCAATCGGAAATGAATGAGTGTATTGAATACGTTACTCCTCAGTGCGTCGGTGGCACAGTGATTAGAACTCTCGCCGACCTTGCACATGGTCCGAGGTTCGATCCCCTGCCGACGCACACCTGATATCTATGGTCGGCCTGCGAAATTTGGGCTACTGATATCCATGCTGAAAATTGCATACTTGTACGAAAAATACAGTGTGGAATGAAGCTGTAACCAAAAATAAATAATGTCCATGGCTTACGTTTTTTATGATTGTTTGAAAGTTGCAGGAAGAGGACTTGAGCACTGTGGCAGAGTATAATTCCATCATGCAGTAAATTTATTTGATCGAAAGATGAAAAAAATTCACAAGAGAAATAGAAAAAATAGTGCAAATAGCAATAACAGGATAAATAAGAAAGAATATAAGGCATCTACAACAGTTTTACCATATAAGGAGGGAATATCTGAAAATAATCAACCAACAACAACAAGAGCAGCAACATCCATCGCCAATCACCATCAACGGGAGGGATTTGAAAGAAGTTACTTCATTCACTCACACATCTAGGGAGCATTGTCTCAACTACAGATAGTCGGAACAAACGAGGATGTCAAATCGACCGAGAATCGGGAAGGCGAGAAACACATTCACTCATCAACCTGAAACCAATCTGAAAATCTTCGTCACTCAGCCAGCATCAACAACAAAATTCTGTCAGATCCTCAATACAGACAGCGTCAAGTCAGTCAGCTCTTCTATACGGATCAGAAACTTGGTGGGCGGGCGGGTCACAAAGAATATTTCCAACAGCCTGTTGCAGACGTTACCTTTATCAACAACTAACTGTCTTCGCTGGATCTATACTGAAGATCAGATGGACGGGCCGGGCCGGGCCGGAAAGAATCACCAACAAGCACCAAACTATGGGAAGAAACAAAACAAGAACCAATTGCCCGAAAACAACAAATATGCAGAAGAAAGGGGATCGAGATGGATTGGACACTCGTGGCTGAGGAGGCCGCTGGGTGACATTGCACGCGCGTCAGGCCATTGCTCGAGTGGAACCCGAAAGGGAGACGACGAGTGGGACGTCGGTACAAGGATGATATGGAGGAGATCGTGTGAAGATGAGTTGAGGCAGTATGGACTAACATGGATGCAGGTGAAAAGTACAGCAGAAGGAATACAGAAGCAAGTGGAGACGTGCAGTTGAAGCCCTATGCTCCACTGGGAACGCAAGGGAATTACAACAACAACATCTGAAACCCGACTTAGGATTCTTAATAAAGCAGAAATTAGGGTAGCATTTAAACCTCCAAACCGATTCATGTAGGAAAAGGTCTGTAGGTTAAAGAACCCTGTTGACACAATTAGGCAAAATAATATAATTTACAAAATACATTACAATGATGGTGAATTAAGTCAACTAACAACATAGGTCAGTTAGTTTAACCAGTAAACCAGGAATATTCAGATTATCAGAATATAAGAATTTCAGTAGCTAAGGTTAAAATGATTGACTTCGAAGAAGGTAAGTAACTTAGAAAGAAGAAAACTCAGCAATTGTACTGTATGCATTAACACACAACGACGCAATAGGATGGGAAAGAGTTACAACTCTAAAAAGTAATATAGGTAGATGTAGAGAGAGAGAGAGAGGGATGTTGATTACTGAATCTTTGTTCATTGAATCTACATCCAACGCATGCACTAGGAATGACTAATCGCCGGTACCATAGATATACAAAACATTACTATCAATCAGAATGAGAGATAAAAAATAATGGAATTATATAAACGAAGTTGGGAAGTTTGGTGAGTACCTTGATATCATTATGAGCAGTAGTAATAAATTGTGATTGAAACGTCGTTATCAGTAAATAATACTGTGGTAAAACTTAATAAGATAAATTTTCACCATGATGGAGTTATTCCGCAAACATATACCAAAATTTGAACACGGCCCATTCTCTGTAAAAACTGACCTTGGATGTCTTACCCTAATTACACTAAATATTGTAATACTGTAACAATAGAAGACAAGGGTCGGGCGACAGATCGTTTAATAAGGAAAATCAACACATATTTATAGATTTTCATGTACATTATTATTGATTATTATTGGCAGAAAAACGCAGTCCTCTGATTGGTTGTTTCTCACTGAAAGTTAACCTTGCATCTCTTTGTGACTGTTTCTTGAATGAATGTCAGATCATCTATATGTTAACTATATCCGCCCACGCGAAGCCTTTGTTCTCATTTTTCTCATGACCAATATTAGGGACGTGAACATTGACGTAAATTACTGTCTACCACCTTTGGCTAACAGCCAGCTCTCACCACAATACTATCGCCTGGTGAAATAGTCAATGCGTTATAGTTGTTATTCAAGTTTTGATTTGCAGGGTTTTGATTAATTACAAGATTTCATCATGAACTGATATCGGTTAGAGAACCAATAGAACACCACCTGGGAGTACTGGTAGTCAGCTGTTTCACCCTACAGCTATACTCAGTACGCACCCACCACCAGGTTTCGAACCCACAACCTTCCGATTACAAGACCAGCTCATAGACCATTTAGCCACTGGGACCCGATCCACTGGCCAGCCCATGAATTTCATCTTCTGCCAATTCACGACATAGCGCCTTCAGTATAGTTTGTCGATACCATTGCAATGACACCTTGACAAATTGTTCCTGAAAGTGAAGATCATCACCGCTTCAGCAAAGTATCAATCATACTACCAAATAACTCTAGTCTGAGTGTGTTACTATGTTATCATGTGACTCTGGATACTTTAAACGACAAAAGAACAACTACCGACAATACACGAATAACTCTTTTATTTGTGTTCATAGTACAATAATAACGAAATGCTAAAGTAGATTGACAAGCATACCTTAATC